TGCTTTCAAATCAAGATTTAATTCTCCAACTGATAACTTTGTCTCTTCACATTCCTGCTATTGTGGATAATGCAGTTAAATAGACCACTTTCATAAATGGCTGCCAGATTAACATTCTTTTGTTCAAATTTAAATTAGCCCTTCTGGCCTCATTCTCCAGTACAAAATTCAAAAGAATACATTATCTCAAGTGAGGCCAGAAGAGCTAATTTAAATTTAAACAAAATAATATTAATTCGGCAGCCATTTATGAAAGTGGTCAATTGCCAGCATCATTTATTTGTTTATCCCCCTGTGACAATGAAGTTGATTAAAAAGTGTTTATTTAACAATTATTCGCCAAAGGTGAGGTGAATATTGTTGAATAATCCCTGAGACGGAGTCGAGGGGATTATTCGACAATATTCATCGAACCTGAGGCAAATAATTGTTTTAGTATAATTTCAGAGCTGAACAACCGAGAAATTTCTAAAATCATAACATTTTAGTAACATTTATTAACATTTCATTTTTACATTTTGTATAAACCACGTGGAGCAGTTTATATAGCATCATATAAGGAACTGCTCCACCAATCAGATTGCTGCTCAGCTCTGAAATTATATAAAACTTGTATACGAACAATTAGCTACTAATAAAAGTGGATTCTTCCTCAGTTCTGCCGCCTCCACCAAGATGTAAAGTTCATTGGTAAAGAAAATGAATTGTTTCAAATTCAAGGTAAATTTTTCTGCTGAAATTAATGTTTTCAATTAAAGATTGCCATTGCATAATGCCTTTTGCAATTTCTGCAAATCTGTTAAAACTGCTATTTTTTGTGTAACATTTATAGCAAAGTCAAACCTTGGACACATGTAAAGGTTCTCCCCATCCAGTAACTCTTGTTTGACAGATCGCTGAAGAGCCTTTTCCACTGAAGGCACATGCTGAAGAGAGAAAGACAGCACACACATTGAAAGAGAAGGCTACGACATAATTGTCTTCAATAAACTATGAAATCATAGTCCTTGTTGATACCAATTTTCCAGTTCTACATATCTTTGACGCCATTCAGTCTACCTGCTGTGAAATCAAAACCACAATTGTCATAGAGGCCAATTAGAACTTTGTCTTGCATAAGAAGGATTTATTGACAACTCAAAATAAATATAGAATTTACAGGTTCAAGTGTAAGCTCAAGTGTTCTGGATTGAGCCAGGGAGTATACAAAAGAAAAACAATACTGTAACTTCATTCCAAAGTGCTTTTGATTTTCAATTGAATATTGCTCTGAATAATCCTGCTCTTAACTTAACAGGATGGCAATGTGGAAGTGATTTCTGCTTTAACAGATTAATACACTTATTTTAAATTTTTCTACTCTGTCAGGGCTCAACAATAACTTTTCAACTTACTAGCAGAGTGGCTGGTGACATCTTAGATGTTATGACAATTTCTGTTTGTTTATGAGCCAAATTGAATAGTGGAAATCAAAAACCACTAGCCAAAACTGAATTTCTACTAATCTGTGGCTAGTGGGCTACTGTTAGCGTCAAGCCATGCTCTGTGCAAACATTAGTGATGACCACTTGTTAAAAGTCACTAGATAACAAAATCTACTTGTTTACCTTGATATCCAACATAATATCCATAAGTGGATCAAACGTGTTTGAGTTGTTCTTGCATTTTAAACAGCGAACTAAATGTACAGAAAAAAATAGCAATATAATTTACATTAATTTAGCTTCATTCTGGGTTGTTTACATTTGTATGAAAATCACTTCCCATAAAGGCTTCTCTTCTGCATTGGCTTTCATTTTGTTGTATCTACAAGCCAGAAAGACAACATGTTCCAGCTTCAACTCTTAAACTCTTGTGATCTGCTTGGCAATTCTCTTTTCTGGTCTTTCCAAATTTGCTTTCAAATTAGTGATGAGAATTTGGTATTACACCAAGAAAAAAAGCTCAAGCTGATATGTTAGATTTTCTAGTTCACTTCATCTGTTTTATCAACTGATCTATCAACACAAATGGAATGAAGATTGGAATATTGAAGAGTCTGCATACCTTGGCTTCTGTAGTAACCTCCAAACACTTGATGCACCATTGTTGTTTGTTTAGACATTCTGTCAAGTCTGCATTAAAAAAAAAAAGAAATAATAAAGATCATGATCATACATAAACTGCATAGAGGGGGTAAGTTTCTAAAGAAACTGTGGTGCTGTGTCAGAGAAGGTAACAAGGTAATTTTATATCAACTAAGTTGAAATTGTAAATTGGCCACCACAAAGAGTTAAAAAGCTGACATTTTGAGCATTAGCCCTTTGTCAAAGCATTTACATCTTGTTTTGCTCTGATGAAGGGCTAACACTCAAAACATCAGCTTTTTAACTCTTTACAGTGGCCAATTTACAATTTCAACTTAGTTAATATAACCAAATTACCATGAACTACACAGTCACTCAAATAACCACTTAACCCTTTCACTCAGATCTCCTTCAAAATTCTCCTTACTGTCTGCTCTACAATTTTTATGATGCTGGTTTGGAGAATTTGGTATTGGATCGACTAATAATCCCCTCATTGATATTTTTTCTTGATTCTCATCACTGGTCTGCTTGATATTGTATTGATATTGTAAGGAGAAATTCTATCTTGGTCACTCACAGGAGTTAAAGGGTTAAGCCTTATACTGACTAAGTAAGATGAGGCTAATAAATTTCTTCTGACAAAATCACACTGGAAAAACAGCCAAAAAGCTCAGAGATTCTGACATCCAATAAGGAAAAACTCCCTGTTAGCTCAATGGATAGAGTGCTGGACTGTTGTGTGGGAGGTCGATGGTTCATGCCCCGGCCGGACCAACACTCAAGGTGTTAAAATAAATGAGAAGAATATGCTACCTTTCTATAACATCAAGAAATGGTTAGATATTCTAGTCTTCTTTGATAGGGACGAATAAATGGAGGTCCCGTCTCCTACAGGGTTAGGGGTAGGAGATGTAAATTTCCCACGCATGAGATTACTGTGTGATGTACTGTCCTTCCCTGGGGTGGGATGGGTTGGGATTATTTGATGAGGGCCGCAGGTTAGAAAACTGTGATAGGTTATTGCACTTCCCTCTTTAAATAAAGTTAAAGTTAAAAGGTAAAAGTTACAGTTAAAAGTTAAAAGTTAAAAACTGGAAAAACTGCTCAAAAGCCCAGAGATTCAGGTATCCAATTAGGTAAAAGTGTATTGCTCTTCCCCCTCCCCCTTCTGAAAGACACCCTACCCACTTACAGGTTACCTTCCAATATTTTCCCTTACAGGGCTTGACACAAATGGTAGCCCACTAGCCACAAAATTCAGTTTTGGCCAGTGGTTTTCAATTTCCACGAGCCAGTTTGGCTAGTTAACAAACTGAAATTGTCATAACATCTAAGCTGTCACTAGCGACTTGGCTACTAAGTTGAAAAGTTAGTGTTGAGCCCTACCTAAATGGAACAAGAGGGACTGTAGGCTCAGAGTAAAGTGTTTTGCCCAGAGTACATCACAGCTGGTACCAATAAAGCCTTGATCTTAGAATTGTCACTCAGGAGATCACTGCATTAGCAGTTACACCACTTAAATTTACAGTACTTTGTCATATACTCACGTTTCTGTATCGCCATCAGCTGCCAAGCAGCTTCTCTGCATGCCATCAATCACATATCTCAGAAACTCATGTGCATCCTCCTGATGACCAAATCTCAAATGTTTGGCAATAACTAGGAAAATAAACATTTAAAAAGTAGACTTGATAAGAATGGCAATTTTGAAGTTGCTTTGTTACTAAAAAAGATAATTACAATAAATAGCTGATTATGGGTACTGATCTTATCTCTGAGTTTTGATAAAATCTTTTGCAAGTGAGTAAAGCAAACAAGTAAGAGATAATTCATTCAAACAAGATGATTAATTCATATTCATAAGCTGACCCAAAGCACTGTTCTTCATAAAATTATAGATAGATATCAATCATATACTCAAATAAGAGACACCTTAAAAACACACTTTGGAAGTACGATGCAAAAGGTGACCTTTCATTTACAACACTGAGAAAATATCGGGACCCAAATGATCCATTAAGATCACCGATCACTTCACGTGCACCTCCGCCAATGTAATCTATTGCATAACTTGCACTTATTGCAAAAAGATTTACATCGGCGAAACAGGCAGAAGACTAGGTGACCGATTCCGAGAACACCTTCGCGACGTGGAGAGGAATGACAAGGACACATCGAAACCAGTCGCTAGACATTTTAATTTACCTAA